TATATATATATTACATTAAACATATTATATAAAAATCTGAAATGCATAATTATTTTTGCTTGAAATAAATTATTTTAATATAAAATCGTTCTGAAAATATATTAAAAAATGAAATGAATTTTATACTTACAAAAATAAATGCAATATGAGCCCAATAAAGTTATGAAATGCACTTCATATTTCCCGCAATATTTAAATTTTAAACAAACCAAACTTAAAAATAAATTTCAATATAGGTGATTTAATATTAAAAGGAAGGAAAAAAACGTATTTGTCATCATAATATGCTATATATATATATATATATATATATTAGAATTATAAAAATAATTTTTTATAAGCAAATACATATTTATCATTAATCCCTGCGAAATTATGGATGGGAAAAAACCTATTGTGTGAAAATCCCTATTGTGTGATGGAATGCAAAATAAAAACAAAAATTTTTGTAATTTTACAAAAGTTTTGTAATTTTTGGCAAAATTACAAAATTTTTAGTAGCATGACAAGAAAATTGTCATTCAAATGAGATGAGATGTCAAAACTTTAATGATATGCTAGTAATAAATCAAATTCAATATGGAAGATTTACATACAAACCACTCAATTCATATGTTCTTACATATCTAACATCTAAACATCAATGTTTTACATACGTGCCACCTTATCCATGCAAGTAAACATATAGTTTACTTTTAAAATAGTGATTTTTTTATGTGATTTGAAAGATTTAAGTGGTATAAATGTAAAGAGTAGGATTTAGATGTTAAATGTGTTAAATACTTAAGAATTGGGGCTATATATATATATGTAAATACCTAATTGATTTTTTGAACAATTATAAGACATTTATTCACTTAATGTTTGTTTGGGGCAGCTGCAAGTTATCCAGATAAGCAGCCGAAACAGGTTGACTGTTTGATTTATGAGCTTGAAAAATAGCTAATTTACAGTTGTTCTACCCATATGCAGTAGTGTTGTTTGTTACAGAACAGTCATAACTTATCTTTTTTCAACACATTATTAATCTTTCTTTAAAATGAAAATAATATTATCATAAGATATACAAATAAGAAACAAGTATAAAAAAAATGAGTGACAAAATAACAATTCTGGACTTAAAAGTCATAGCTTATGTACAATACCATTGCACTTTATTAGGTTTACTTTAGCTACTCGGCTCTACCAACATAAGTAGTAGCTTCTGCCGTGGCTAGCCAACTCAACCAATAATTATCAAGCTAACTATTATATGGTTAGAAGCACCTGTATCGCCAGGCTAATCTCTTAACTAGCATGATTCATCCCCAGCTAGCATTATATTAAATTGAGTTACTTTCTTGAGGAACTTGTGTAAAGTCTTTGGATCCCTGCAACAATTGTTCCTCGTTGAATCCACCAATAGAATATTTATATTAAATTGAGTTGCTTTCTTGAGGAACTTGTGTAAAGTCTTTGGATCCCTTGTCAAGTTGCATTAGTTAAGATTCCATCCACCTTACAACATGTTTACATGGCACATTTGTTAGACCTTTTAATCCTACACCATAAAAAATTTGCCAACAATTATGAAAGAAAAAGAGAAAAGAGCTACCTTACAATGTGCCCACTTGATAAGAAAATGACAAGTCAACTTAAAAGATGTTCTTTTACTATCTTTTTGTATGAATATCTTCATCATTAAGCTCTCCCTCTTAAGAAATCCCAACTCGAACGATGCCTTACAAAGCATTAAGACAATTAAACTCAACATAACTTTTGAACCTAAAAATCACCAGTGGCTACATAACTTGCACTGGGGAAGAACGATGTGATGGCAAGTTGTCAAGAAGGAAAAAGGTAGCTTTAGCCAAAGGGATCTCCCCAGCTTTCCATTTTATTTTTAATTTAGATGGTGGTCAACGGAATGGGAGTAAAAGAAACAAGAAAAAATAGGTGAGCTTACCTAATAAATATGGAGGATGACGACATTCTTCGGCAATGCTGCAGCGAGAGATCTGAGTGGAGACTTTTGCCATGGATAAGTTCCCCTAAATAGAGCGGAAGCAGCGGTATGGGACAAGGAAGAAAACAAAGAGCAGAAGGGCTCGAGGAATAATCCTTCGAAAGCAAATACAAGATGCGGGCCACGAGGTCAATGCTCCAGGCCCTTCTATTAAGAAATTAAAAAACATCGTTTCTCAATCAGCTTTTCAAACGCTTAAACCAACAACACGGCGTTTTCAAAACGCCACCCGAGCCAATGTGCTGCCCCAAACAGGGCTAGTTGCACCAACTGATAGATAGGATTGTAAATTGTAAATAAGTTTAGTCGGGTTCTACTTTATATTGGTCGAGAGTTAGAAACAACTAGAGAAAAGGCTCAATAAAAGCTTATTTGGGATCAATTCTATTAGAATTTTACATTTAGATAAGATATTAATATACAACTTAGACATGATACTACGAAGACTACATGGCTTATTCGGAATTATTTTTATTTTTTATTTTTTATATTTAAAACACATTTATTTAATGTATTTCTAAATTCTAACTCCGTTTATTTCCCCTTTTTTAATACAAATTAACTTAGTTTTAAAAAAACATTAAAGATATTCAAGAGTTAACTTATATTTTTTAAAACAACTAAATACATTATAATGTATCAAATATATTTTATTTTAAATAAAAATATACACAATAAAATAAAAAATGAAAATAAAAAAATACTCCCAAACGGACGGACCCACACGTGATTAAACAAATATATGAACAGGGAAAATGCCCACAAATGAGTTTTTAAGGATGAGGCAATGGTGATAAAAAAAACTTCGTGTCTATTTGGGTAGCTTCAATTGTTTGAAAAACAACTTCGAAACTGCTAAAAAAAAATAAAAATAACTGTTCAGAAATTAAGATGGCTACTACAAATTTATTTTAAAAATTTTCAAAAGTTCTAAACAAATCGTTTTGGTAGCCACCGCATTCAATCAGAATCAGGTTAAGTTATAAAACACAGTTTTCAACTGAATTTTTTGAAAAAGCGGACAAAATTTTGCCAAAAGCCTAAAAATATGGTTCAGCACCCTACCATCATTGCCCCCACAGTCCCAAACATATCTTTAGAGAGAAAAAGCTTAACAATTCTTAGGCAAGATTATACACCATGTACATGAAGGTCTTATAGCATGGTTTCACAAGCTGATTGTTAGACTTCCAACATGTTGAGAAACATGGAAGACAATCACAAGCTATTTTTTTCCCTGCTACATAAGGATCGCACTAAAGAATAAGAATGCTAATGGTTATTACGCAGCTGTGAAAGTGTCATCCACCAACTATAACAAAAAAAAATATTACAACCAAACCGAATGCTTAAAACAGTAATTCAAAAAAATGCATAATAAATCAAATTAAGATACACTACATAAATTGCTCAATCATATACTTACTAGACAAATATACACTATGATTTAATAAATCAAATTAACATTAGTAAACGCATACACCCCTTGTCTAAATGAACACAATTATAAAATGGTTTATTCATTCTAGTAAAGTGCCGAAATAATCACCTACTATTTCCATGAAGCCACTTTAGTTCTAGAGTTCATAGAAGTGTCAAAACAGTCCCAACTACTGTAAAATTGTCCTCCATAAGGACTATTTCAACCCCAATTTAAAAATTTTAAGAACTATTTTGACACTACTATAAACTACGGATTAAATCAGGCCCCATGTTAACGGTCAAACTATTTTGGCACTTTACTCATTTATTATACAACGCTAACAGTTCATTGAATAACATCATAACAATGCATAAACCAAACAAAACATCATAAATCATAAAAAAACATATTTCTTAAGGCTATATTTGAGACTGTTTAAGAAAACAAACATAACGATGAAAAAATTTTAGACAATTTATATACAAATCACATAATGCTTATGTATTTGCATGCCCACTCATATTAAATTGTAATATTTATTTACATAATACTAAAACCTTCAAATCATATTAAAAAAATCAACGATATTAATTTTTCTAAAGCAAAATACATCAAGCTTTGATGTTCTAAACTGTTATTTAAATAAAAACCCAAATTTAGGTGTTTGACTATATAAATACATAAAGATTATGCGATATGTACGTAAATATCACTAAAATATATTCTGACTTGGCTGGAACAAGGAAGAGAAGATTGAAAAGGTTGCTTTACAGAAGAAATAGCACTGCGAACTCGAGATGTTCAATCAATGAAAATGGTGGATTTGGGAATAATCTAATGTCATGGAGAGTGACATGAGATGTGTTTTTTGTCAATATATATATATATATATACATATATATATATATATTTGTCTATATATATATATATATATATATATTGAAAAAATTGTCAAGAGGTTATTAGACAAGCTTACCGACCAACCTCATGTGTCAAATAATTTGATCCCGCACATAGGCGTGATTGCACCCGTGATCCCAGAGGTAACCAATACGTCATGGTAGGCGGCACATATATATAGAATAAAAAATTAGGCCAAAATGGTCCTTAAGAATGATCGGATGTGAAACCAGCATTCTCCTACAGATTTGAAGTGCATATTTTATGCCATAGCACGCGGGCATCATTATATAACACAAACAATAATTCATGTCAACAAATTGTGTACAGGGACTTCTTAATCATCTGAGTGAGGAAACAAAAAGACCACATAATTATTTACGAGGACGATTTTGGCCATGACAAAATTAGCCAAAAAGCACAAAACCAGACTACTTTTGCAAAAGCGACAAAATGCAAACCTGTAACTTGTCATCACATCTTCTGCAGAAAGAGTCCGATGACAATGCCCAGTACTGCAGCCAAAAAAATGAAGAAGATGACGATGAAGACGGTCATTAAGAAGGGTAAAATTTAGTAAACAAAAGAAGTTGGGCTAAAAAATCGAACCACTGTCATCCTCAGAAAATATTTACAAAATCTGAGCAGTATCTGTTCTGAATTCGGTCTCCGCCCCCTTAGTTCAAAGGCAAATAAAATTGCAGTTTGTGGAGGGACTAAATTGAAAGTTTTCCTCAATGCAGTTCTTGCATCGGAAGAAGCCGAGAAAGCCGGAATAGTTCATTTGTTTTAAGTAATTGGTATCGAATGGCTCCAGCTAATCCCGGTCTTTTTGCCTGCAATGTTCCTGCCAGTCACGCTATGATCAGTGAGACTGCTGAGTTCAGGCTGGCAGGTGCAGGCATGCCCAGGCCCCCTTAGCGGGGCCGGGCTAGTCCAAAGTTTGCTTCAGATTGCTGTGTATGAGACTGCAGAAGATTCAAACTTAGCGATGCAATATAAATTAAATATGGTTTTCAATCAATTTAAACCAAAAAAAAAAAACATGCAAATCAAGTAGTAGAGGTGTAAGGGTGTTAATGAGCCAAGTTGAGCTCGTTTCGACCTCGGCTTGAACTTGAGTTTGATTAATCAATCGATTGAGTTTGAGCTCAAAACTCTAGCTTAATTCTACGAATTCGAGCTAACTTAATTATTATTAAAGAAGAAAATAAAATTAATTCAGACTACTGTTATAATAAAATAAAAATAGATTGAACACGCGGAAGATAAATAAAAAGAAATCATTTGATATTAAATGCAAATTATCATTTTTTTAAATTTTTAATAATTTAAAGATAAAGTCTTGAAATTTAATAAATTTAAATATATTTTATATTAATTACATTTTAAACAAACTGGTTCACAAGCAAATGAGTCTAGTCGTCGTTGGTTTGAGCTTGGTTTGCTAGCTCATTGAGCTCATCTCACAAGCTACTTATCGAGTTGAGCCCAGGCCAACTCACAAGACAGCTAGGCCAATTATACCCCTAAGTAGAGATAAAGGAATAAAAAATAGCCTAAAAAGCTAGCTAACTAGGGGGTACATTTATTAATTACAAATAAATTTCTCAATAAAGATTAAGAAAACAATAATATTTCCTACAGTTCAGCTTAATTTTCAATTAATATATTAAACAGAAATATGAAAATGACAAATAAAAGTTAGTCGTATAACATTTATTACTTATAAAAAACATTTTTACCAAATCTTCTAGAAACGTGCAAGTTGATTTTGAAAATGCAATTCAATCACCTAATACTTGAGGCTGGATTTTAGAATCCTCCAGTACTAGATTATTCGCAATATAATAGCTTTAATACAATATATTTACTGATTGTCATTTGTAAAGCCTATATATAAAATGGACCAACCCCTCTTAATAATCCTTAAAAAATGAGCTCACTCTCGCATCCTCAACTTGCTGGTGCAGACACCTGTTTAAAGTTAGTAACCTTTGTCAGCCTAAGTGATGATATTTGCTCTTAATTGCACTAGGTTGATTCCCAAAATAAGAAAAGCGTCAAAATGATCTCCTGAATTGTCATTTTAACAGTCTCGTAGTCTATAAATCTGTCAATTTAGTTCAGACTCTTCTAATGGAGATTAAAATAGTCCTCCTTGGAAATTTCAGTCCACATTAAAACAAGTACTGATTTGACATTTTTTATGAACTCGGGGACTAAAATGGCCCCATGTAAATATTCAAGGGACTGCTTTTGCTTTCCTCTTTGAGAATACTTAGCAATGTTTTGATAAGTGCAAAATAAAGTTGTTTCAAGCCCAGGTAAAATAAAAGTAATTTCATGCTCAATTGCATGTTGACAAGCAAATATCCAAGCGTTAAATTTCTAACAAGCCTGGTTGTTACCAAACTTATGATAAGAAACCAATGATCACTCTGAACATTAAAATCAGGGGAAAAAAACAAAAATGAGTGACAAACCTGTGAATATTGAGCTTTCTCAGGAGCATGTAGAAAAGTCATCGGATGCGGAGGGACAGAAAACTGAGGGGAATGTAAGAAGATAGAGGGCGTTGAGTGAGCACCAACGTTATTAGGGTTATATTGCGCCATCAAGCCTTCCGGAGGGCCATAGTTAACGGCAGATGACGATGATGCAGACGGCCAAGGTCCCCGCAGTTGTTGAGGGGTTGGTCTTGGTTGGTGTTCAATGGATATTTGAGGCCTGTGAATAGATCCAAGCTGAGGGAATTCAGAGTTGTAGTTGACTGCAGGAGCATATAAAGGCTGAATTGAGTAAGGTGCTCCATTAAATCCAAACCCAGGGTCAAACCTTTGCATGTACCTGGAAAACAAAATATAATAAGAATAAAAGAGGGATGAATAATCCTAAACAAAATATAACACAAATAAAGAGAGATAAGATTAGAACAAGCTGCCGCTTAAAGCATCAATCAATGAAGACGGTTAAAGTCTTCTACGATCAAAACTGTAGGAAAAAACAAAGTCTTCAGGTGAAAATGAGCACCAAAACATGTACGTTCAAACACACAAACATGCACTACACTCGCAACATCTACAAATCAAATTAAAACACAAGAAACAAATCTAGGGCCATTTGCATACATAACACCAAATTCAAATGAATTTACATATCTAACACCTAAACTTCATTTTTTAAATTTATACCACCCAAATCATTCATATCACATCAAAAATACCACTATTTTAACTTTTAAGAAGTGAAATACGCCTTTTCATGTATAGGTAAACTGGCATATATGTTGATGTTTAGGTGTTAGATATGTGAATGCATAATAATTGAGAGGTATGCATGAAAATCTTCCATTAATCTAATACACTGCTACGAAAGCTTATAAAACTTGAAAATATAGCGCATTCAGTAAAAACTAAAACTCAAACTTAATCACATTACCTATCATAACTCCTATCATAGTCAGGATCCTTGCGATCCAACTCGCGATCACGAAAAATAGCGACTCTGCCCATTGTTTTCTGTCTACCAACAAGTTCTTTTTCATTCCTATTTCTACTGTATCTGTTGCTGCCAATAAAAGAGTTACTCATGCTCCTCTTAAGATTAGTTTCAGATGCTTCAGGAAACAGGTCATCTTCAGCGATTGATGGCACCAAGTTGCAATTTTGAAGAATATCAGGCAAAGCTGGTTCAATCTCTGATTTTGTTGTAGCACCAGGATCACTGCTGTTGCTAAATATTCGAGCACGTGCCTTATTATATTCTTCCTTTCTTTCCTCTACTGTTTTCATGCCATTATGATTAGATAAACTAAAATTTGAGCTGTTACCAATTTGTGAACTTTTGTGGGGCCTCTGCTTTATTGCAATTTTCTGTAAGCTGTTTGAATCTTCCTGCTGTAAACTAACAGGTATATCCGCAAGACGTACTGGAGGTAATCGACAATAAGAAGTTTTATGAATCACAATCTGAGAACCAGAACCGTCAGGCATAACACTGTCAGGCATGGCCACTGACTGCAAATAATAATGTTGCGCTACTCGATGTGCGGCCAGACGGAGGTAGGAAGTAGGAAGGTTCTGGAACTCCAACTGTTGTTGAGTAGGATCACATATGAACTTTATAATATCTTGCTCCATTCTCAAAACTAAATAAGATGCATAGGTTAGTTAAAAATACAACAAGAAAAATATACAAAACATATTTTTCATGCTTAGCTTTTCCCATTTTAAAACAAAAAGCTGTCAGACCATGAGTTCCGTGTCAAGTCACATAATTTTGTTTAGCAAAAAAGTAGATGAAGTAGCAAGACATTTATATAAACACGAACAAAATAATTCCTTTATGATAAAACAATTGCCACCATAAGATCATAAATTCATCAATATTTAGACATATATGAAGGGGGATAGAAGCACACAATAATAGAGCAACAAGAAGCACACAGAGTACAAACACAATTTTAAAGTACCTTCAACAAAGAAGATGATTCTAAATTTCCAACTGCTTCATGATCTGAATATTTCACCAAAACGAATTTTCAGATATAAGTTGAATGTCACAGGAAAAACACTGCAAAGATGCATATCTACAGAATCATAAGAGGGGAGCATATTTAATAAGGAAATAGCTCTAGTAATAGAAAGAAGAAGGCCTGAATAATTCTATTTTGTTAGTTGCAAATGAAGATTAAGGAGTATTAGTCCTCACAACCAGCCATTTATTGACATTTTGCTGTGTTTTTCAGCACCACAAAACCTATGCATGCAAAACTGAATAGTAGAAAATTACCAATCCTATATGTTTTTCAAGTCCCCATAGAAAAACACCAAACAAACACTGTGGGGAATGGAGCCGACAACTCCATACTGTTAATTGGCTCATGTGGGTCGGATGTCATTAAAACAAATTAAAACTGAATTAGAAGGGGTGAATTACACTTAGATGATTAGCTGAGGTTTGAATGGTAATTAGTCCGGGCAAATTACTTCCAAATTGTACAAAGGTCAAAAAATATTATTGTTAGTAGGAATGGGTCTAATCACTTGTCTATTTGCCCATGACATTTGTTCTCTCCCCCTCCTCTCAATGTTGACAATTGAAAGGTAACTGAAACAGTCTTGATAATACCAACAATGGCGCCAAGGAGGAAGAAATGAAGGGAGAAGGAAAAGACTAAAACATGGAGATTTTAGCCCGATGTTTATAGCAGATTTAATTGATTTGAAAAATGGAAGAATGTCTTTAAATTGCTGGAAATTAAAATAATTTATGCATCCTGAAAAATATTTAACGAACCTGAGAGAATTTATCATCATTAACCTTAAACACAAAAATCATATGGGTGGAGCATTATGTTGAAACATTCATAAATGCATAACATAGAATACACGAATATTTTGCCAAGTGAAAGGGCTTCCATATTGCAAAACTGTGAGAAACAAGTTTATGGATAAGTTTTTTTATTGCAAGGATAGGAACAATGCTTTTAAAAGCACGTTTCAGAGCGTGCTTCACCTGCAAAGTGAAGTGAAGCGCGTGACGCTCACTTTGCTTCACTGAAGAGAGCTTTGAAGTGCTTAAGCAAAGTGATCCGTCTAGTTCATACTTTAGCAAGAGGGAATAAACGCTAATGTATTAATTTAACTTGTTTTATGAAACTTGAGACTTTATTAGACTATTTATGCTTTAGAGTTTACATTTTCTTGAGGTATAGGACTTTTTTTGCTTCTTCTTTTTTTTGTTTTAAATCATTTCAGCAAACTATTAGAAATTATTCAAAATTTTTATTTGTATCCTATAAATGTTTGCCATCAAGTTAAGTATTGCACTATATATTTTTTATATTTTATATCAACTTAAGTCATACTTTATATTTTATTATTGTTAAAAAATGTATTTATATATTAATGGTTATATATAACCTATTAGCATTTTAGTTTATAAAAGCTTTGTTTCGCTCTGCGTTCTGAAGCAAAAATAAAACATTGCACATCACATTACGTTTTGTTAACACTGGATAGGACACATTGGTGTAGTGGTCCTTGGCAAAATAGAGTTAAGTATAGCTTCATTATGTCACACAATCAAGTTAAGACAAAGTCATTGGTCCTTGAATTTTTGGTAGTAAGCACGCTTCAAACTTCATAGTTATAGCAATTTATACAAGTAATCAAGATACTAAAAAAATGATGACATAACTAAATAATATCACTAAACGAAGAACAAACAAAGGCACAAAGAAAAGATCAGTATGGATAATGAAAAAAAAAAATAAAGAATGAATAGTTACAAAGTATATCAATGCATTAAACAATAAAATGCACAACCTCATCATTGTTTATCCACTCTCAGATATAAAGAAAAAGAACATAAATAGAATTTAGACTGCAAAGAGGAAAAGATCATAATTTGCTTGTCCAGTGGAACAAAACTACAATGAAGTTCCAGAATATTAAGCTAAGGGCACAACTTAAAAAAATAAAAACTTTCAGCCTTAGCATTTAGAGAGCCTAGAATCAGAACAGCATCCCTTACTATTTCACTTCAGTCAATCAAGCATATGGAACTAAATGAAAGTGAGATAGTGCATTGGAACTATTAAGCAAATAATAGTTTGAAAATCCAAAAGGAACCCAAAATGAAGAGGTTCACGGGCTACGTAGATATCACAAAAAATTGCAGGCAAAAAGAAAAAATGACAATGCCATGTAATCATGACCTGCACTACTTTGTTCTTGAAGCATTACAAACCAACTTCGATTTGATTACAACAAAATTTAACACAAACAATACTTGCCAATGAACAGCAGACTGCAGCTAATCAAAGCATTTTTCAGCATTTGAAAACCGAGACTAAATCAAAGAAAGCCAAAATTTGAAACAACTGGTCTCTTACCAGGTCTTTCAAATTTGACACACACACATTTAAAAACTAAAAATTAAGTATATTAATTGATAAAATAGAAAGAAGGAATTTTATCATGTCTTTTTTGTTTCTCTTCCCTTTTGCAATGTTTGTTTAGAGGGCTAAAATATGAAAGAAATTTCATACAGAGAAGTCAAGACTCAAGTGAGAAAACAGAAGTAAAAAAAATGTCAACCACCTCTACTAGTCAAAAATCATGAAAGCTCTTAACAAAAATCTAATACAGTAACCCAAAAAATTCTTTTTGTTTCTATTTTTTTAGTTTCTAGGTTATGAATCTCCCAAAATAACTTTATTCATAAGATTAATTACATCATGGATGGTATTCAAGAATACCCTCAATTAAAAATAATTAAACTTATGTTCCAATTTTAAGCTAGGTTATCCAAGGATTATATACATCAAAATCATCATTAAAATTGGAAAAGCTCGTTCTTCAATGTAAGAGCCAAACCATAAGATAGAATGTGAATCATCGCATCCAAGTGAAAGAAAATCTCTCTATAGAGGAAATCCTACCAAAATAGTGGGCAAATAAAAATTCGAAGGATTGAATGAGCTCAAAGTGTGCATTGGGTATGTTTTGAGGAACCAAAAAAGGTATACATGACCTTCTAAAATTTCATGAATCTTAAATTTGAGATTCACTTATCCATTAAGGTAGTTAACCAAATTTATCCTTGAGACACTCTATCAGTACCCATGAATTATATCATCTGAATGAGCCTAGTGATCTTAAACTAAAGAAAGAAACATAAATTCCTATATGAATATTTTTATTCGGTAGATCTAAAGGGGTACAGCCTAGTGATCTCAAACTAAAGAAAGAAACATAAATTGCTATATAAATATTTTTGTTCGGAAGATCTAAAAGGGGTATATAGCTTCTCTATTAAACTAGGAAAAGATGCATAAAAAAGAAGAACATGAATAAGTTGACCATAAGAGTTAAATTTCAGGTTGGCCTTGCAATCCTGTCAAGATTAAAAAATGACTAATACTGATTATATCAATCTAAACCACCACCTAGGCCAAGTTAAATCATGTAGATAGGTCCGTAAAAAAACAAAGCAAGTATGCTCGATAGGCATGAATGATGCAAAATTATCTACATTAATGTAAAAATTTAACTACTATGCTTAAAAATTAGGCCATGACATGCCTTTGTTAATCAGCACAAATTTGAAGTTGCATATTGATTCTCTCTTATAAAAGAGCATATGAGAAACTATATACAACCTAAGTATCCACCTAACCCCACAGGGAATCATATTCATTTTATTTAAAAAATTGGCAACAAAGATCATGTAGTAATAAAATATTTTTTATGAAAATTGATTTTACCAATGGTTGTTTTTAGAGTTTCTTATAATTTTAATTAATTTCTTAAAAAGCGTATTTTTCCATCTCAGGTTAGCATTTACCGGTGAGTCCAAAGAGCTTATCATTGAAAAATTCATAAAATCACTCAAATGCACCAACCAATTATGAAGAAATCATAGAAAAATGTTGGTTGTAGCTGAGTTATGCAATATAACCTAATAAAAAATATTAGTCGGGCTCCATATGCATACATACTGATTTTAAATCTACACAAAAAAAAAAAAAAAAAAAATCATTTGAACCTTATTTCAAGAGACAAAAGCTAGAAGCTCCTAGTCCTTGCCTCTATATATTTTTACTTTATTTTGATTTTTTAAACTCACAAATACACTAGCTGTGCTAAGCCATTAACTAGAGAACTTATAGATCAAATGGGCTGCACAAGTCCTTGCCTCCATATGATTATAATCCTGATTGATACTCCACTAGGACTCATGTTCGCCTCTTAGCTCACACATACTATTTCTAACTAAAAAGTACATAATGAAAATAAAAAATACAAACCTACCCCTAAAAAATAGAAGTTTGTATGCACAGATATATAAATATATAGCAGTGTATTAGCCATGTATGTTAGAAAGGATAACCTAACAAAACACTTGAAGAAAAGGCTGCAAAAAATGCACAACCAGAAGAAAAAATATTCATCGCAAAAGCCATATAGTGAAATAACCTAACAACACGTTACAGTAAACTAAACAAATATCTATAAGTATGTCAATCACAACATTTAGAGTGTGCAAAAATCGATGTAGCCTTGGGTTTATCTCATCTGACTAGAAAAATATTATCAAGACCAATTTTGCTTCAAAAAAATATTCATCTCATCTTAGCTTACCAAATTTTTAAAAAGTTAGGAATTTGAAAGCAATTAATTAATAATTTTGGAAAACAGGCAATTTAAGAATTATATAGCTTTTAAAATGTTTTTTTAATAAAATAATAAGGCTTGAAAATATGACTTTACATATGGTCTAGCTAATTTAATTTTAAAATAAAGTTAACATTCCTTAAATCATTCGAATTTTTTATAATGAATATCAACAAATTTTGATAATGGTAAATTAATTATCATTATACAATAACCAAGTTATTGATAATGATAATTAAATTGTCATAATGAAAACTCAAGTCCAGACCTACAACCAGATCAATTAAAATATGTATGTGCCTACTCTCATGACAATTAATGCAGATGAATGCTAATCAATATTATGTTTAAGGGATCAAGTAAAAGAAAGGATGTATTTAAATGGACTTTGCTCATTTGAGTTATGAAGTTCTCAACCTCAAGTAAATGTGGTATACCTAAGGATGAAAGGAATATCTAACTTAAATGCTGCCCACCAAAACATGGATAAAGCCTATTTAAAACACTTAAAATGATTTTCATCAAGTGAATGCAAGTCACTTAGATGGCTTCTTAAGTATGTCCAAGCAGAAAGGGGTATTTAGATTAATCCGGTTCACTTAAATACAAAACTAATATATCGTGATGAATTTGAGTTGAATCAAGAGTGACTTGCTTAGGAGAGGTATGTTGATCGAAAAAGCATATTATCTAATTGAACCAAAAAAGAATGTTAATGTAGGTTTAGCCTACTCAAAACTCAAAGCAGAACTAAGGATTTTAAACGTGGCCCAATCCTTTATAATGCCTAATAAGCATGAAGATTAGGAATCTTCTAGTCAAATGGAAATCTATTGATGACCCTATTATGGTCAAATAATTTGGGTGTAGTGAAAGTGACAATCCATACAAAGAGATACCCGAAGTTGATATGAAGATAACTAAAAAAGGACCTCCACATGCCAACGACATGACCATCCTAAATGTTGAGTTGACTCATTATATTGCAAGGTATGTGTAAATGATATGAGTGAGCAATAAAGTGCTGCATAAGGCTTGACGTAGATATATCTAGTCTCACCCTATTCTACTAAGATGAGTAAGAAAGTATAGGGGAAGTGTGTGTACTAAATAACCTTAGTTATCCTCTAATACTATGCATTTGAAAAGCATGATGAAAGGTGAGCATGTTCATTCTAGGGCAAGCCTGAGTACTCCTCTAAGTCAAGTTAAAGGATTGACTTTGACAAACAATACAAAACTAGCCGATATGCGTAGATATTTCTAATATACTGAACTTTGGAATTTTAAAAACTTAACATTTCAAGCCAAGGATTTGAATTATCGAAGTATTCAAGGATTTTCAATCTTCAAATAAAGCAACCCATCTCAATTGGCCAATAGATAGAATGACAGAAAAATAATTGATACAAAATATCAATAAGATTCCTAATAGGGAAAAATAGCCAACTCATGCAACTTGCAAGTTCCACTAAATGTTAAGAGGAAACAAACTTTTGCACATTAATAATTCTAGCTGGTCACGGTTAACCAAACAGCATTTCCAATTTTGCACATTAAAATATTCTTAATTTTTTAAAAAACTACTCTGTGTCAACCACCTCTAATTTTGTTCTTCTAACTCGTGCTACCTATAGAGTTTTCTAGCTTCAACTCTATGACACACAAACCAAGTTGACCATAGGGATGTAGGTCAATCGAGTAGGCTTGTGCGCCAAGCTTGAGCAATGAATCAAGATCGAGTCTAAAATAAGCTCAAGCTCAATGATCTTATGACTTGATTTACAGCCTAATGGGGAAATATAAAATCTCATAAGTTGGCATATTTGTAAAATTTAAAAATTTAATGATATTTATGCAAAGATAAAAGAAACCTAATTAACATCTCTAGTCTCCATCCCTCAATCTTGATTCCCCCACGTTGTTGCCATTTCTTCTTCCTCCTCCTTTATCAAATGGGCAATGCTTATCTTGCATTTAATTCCAACGTGCATAATGACTCCTCAACCACCGTTGACTTCTTCCCCAACACCGATGTCGTTGATGCCTAATCTTTTCTCCTTTGTAATCCTTCATCATTTTGAGGGCCTTGACTTCATCCTTCCACCCTCCATTTCCTCTTCAGCGCTATCTTCCTCTACTAGATGAATATTGCTCCCTTAAGGGGTTGTCCAGTATTGGATTTAAGGGAGGATTTAAGCAGGATTTAACTTAAATCCTCCCAAATGGTCATTTTGGACATCCTAAATCCTAAAATTTACCGAATCTGGATTTCACCAATTTTCAACATAAATCCAACGTGGTGGATTTAGTGAATCTGAGAGCGCAACAAGAACAAAAAAAGGAGTATTAATACCTCACACAAAATGGAAAATCGCTTCCTCATTGAGGGAAGAAAAATTGCTGCTTGCTGTAATAATGAGGTCAAAGGGAAGAAAAATTGCTGCTTGCTGTAATAATGAGGCAATGTTGATAGAGTGAGAGAGATTTCAATTTTTCTTTTTGGATCCGCTTCCTCTTTGTTGGTGAAGGCGAGGAGAGAGTTGAAGAGCAACACAAATGATCTACATGCGGCCAGGATAGCAGATGATATTTGGTGAAGAAGGTGGCTTGCGGTGTGCATGAGGTTTGAAGCAATGAGGAACCATTGGCGGCTCTACTCAACAAAATTCAACTCGTCACAAATTATTTTTAAATTAACCAAATTAACCTCAAAAAATATTAAGCTAATTAACTTACATTAATATTGTTAATGATTTAACCTAATTTTCTTATGTTGAATTAGCTATAAAATTTTAATTAATGCTTTATGAAAATATCATGTTATACTAGTTATAATGGAATTATCTTAACTAATGAAGAGTAAAAACTAATTAATGAGTAATTATATAAAAAAAATTGACTTAATAAAATAATTAATCAAATTTATGAACAAGTAAGTTACCCTAAGTAGCTAATCAATGATTACTTATTAAACACCAAAGAATTGATTAAATTTTTAAAACTTTAGTAGAATGATAATTAAATAATTTCAATTGTAATAATGAAATAATCAAACTTCAGACAAATCTAACAGGTTTTTAAATCCTAGCATAAGTTATCAAACAGTTTCACAGAATTCAACTGGATTTATTAAATCAACTGCTAAACAATTTCTGAGATTTAACTATTTCAGAATTTCAAAAATCTAGATTTACAAGACTTAGTAAATCCTGATAACTTAAATCCTAGTGGCTTGTACGGCAACATATTAGATTTAAGTTAATAGGATTTAGTAAATCATGTAAATCTAAATTTAGTAAATCATTAAAGGGTTAAGTACCAAAAGTTGTTTGGTAACGGATTTAGTAAATCCAGTTAAATCCAATCAAACTGTTTGACAACTTCTACTAGGATTTAAAAGGTTGTTATGTTTGTTAGAAAAATCATAATTAAACTTTGATTATTTTATTATTATGATGAAAATTAACTATCAAATTAAATTTCTAATTATGCTAACTAATAATTAACTTTTCACTAAACTACTTAATTATTAATAAAATTTTCTATTGAACTAATTACTTATTAAGCAATAATTTAACATTAATCAATTATTAATTAAATATATTAAATAAATTTACTTAAAATTTTATTAAACAATTTAAATTTTAAATATATTTTATTCATCAATTAATTATTAAATAGTTACATATAATTTATCTAATTCTAATTAAATTGATAATATAATAATTAATTATTAATTATTAATCAATTAAATTAATAACATAAAAACTTGACAAAAAATAAAATGAAACATAAACCTATCTCCCCATTATACTCTCTCAAACCCCTCGCCTAAATCCTCTCCTGATTTTGCCTGAACTTCTTCTCTCAATCCAAATCCCTCGCCGATTGTATCTCAAGCATTAATCAGACAAAAACTACCTGAAAATCCTTAACCATACCTAGCATGCACAAAAAAATGTAGATTAAAATAAACAATTATTCATTTCTTCAAACAGATACCATCCATAACAATCACTAAATCAAATTATACACAAAAATGCATAGAAGGCTGCAATTCTATTTCAAGCTTGATCACAAACATTAAAGACAAGCTGAAGAGAATATCATGCCGAAGAAAAATACAACCAAGCACACAATTCTTATGCATTTACATAGCTCGCACCTAAGCTTTCATATTTACACACATAGCACTCAGATATTTAATATAGCACTATTGCCACTTTTTGGCAAAACTTTAATGCACCAAAGTGCTATGCATGTAAAAATCAACGTTTAGATGTGAGTTATGTAAAAAAGTGTTATGCAGTAAATATCAAAGTTTAGGTGTTAGTTATGTAAATACCAAAGAATTGTGTGCTACATATGTAAATTACCCTAATAACACGCAGAGTGACGCATATAAGGACAAAGAAACCAGCGCACTCACTGGATAGCCGTTCCCGGGGCTTCTCAATAGCCTCCCTGAGAAACTGATCCACCTGGTTCAACGCATCCTCCTTAATCACACCGCACCGTTCTCCAGAAGCGGAAGCCGCAGCTGTCTTGTTGCC